GGGTTGGTAGGTGGTTTGGTAGGTTGTTTGGAAGGTGGGTTAATAGGTGGTTTGGTTGGTAGGTGTATTAGTGGGTGGGTGGGTAAGTGGTTTGTTTATCTGGTTGGTTGTTTGGTAAAGGTTGGTCTGTGTATTTGTTGATCGGCGTTGTTTATTGAATATTATATTAATCTTACCTTCTCAAGGTCAAACAATGCTTCCAATCCCTTTCTGTCACAAACAGCAATCCCCTTGACTCCAATGTTGACTCTGAACACTGTGCTTTGGAACTGTTCTCTTCTCTTCGTAAAGTAACCATGCCCGTTCTGAATGAAAATATAACAACAAATATTCAACATTCGCATGACAATGAACATCGCCGTAGAAAGTCAACATATGAGTTTAKTGTTGTAAAACTTTAATGTAATGGTGAAAGAAGAGCCGTTTACGAGGGGTGATCAATGATGGTTGTAAAATATAAATAYACCTAATTGAAAAAACGTAGTGGGGCTTGAGAAGGTCATATCATCCAAGCTAAGACCGAAAAGGATTTTGGGTACTCCGAAATGTGTATTATATTTGCATATAGACATGTAAAAATGCACAGTAGAGCAAAGTCGGTCGACCTAGATTAACAACATGCCAAAGCCATGATGCATAATATGCGCACAGGAAGGGAAACTGCAATACGCATGAAATTAGCATAATTGTTTGTCTTCCCATGCTCCCCTTCGGTATTAGCTTTGTTGATATAACTTTTTTTGAACCCGACGTTTTTTCAATTAGGTGTATATAAAGTTTTAGAATGTCATCTTATAGGACCCAAGTTGGATGATTGAAAGGGTGGGGATACCTGGTACCCATCTGACCTCTGAAAGTGAAATTATCAAATATCTTCAAAACTAAAAGTCAAATCGAAAGAAATACATGAAATAACTGTCTGTTTGAATGTAACTTGCACGCGCGCTCTTTCCGTATATTTTTATAAATATGGCGGATGATACAAATCAATTTTATGTACGCCGCCATCTTTGATATTTACTTGAGCCCGCGTTATTTTTCGCGGAAAAGCGTATTCTACGTCATTACCACAGGAAGACCAATCAACAAATTTATGTCTTCCGTGCTCCGTGCTCCCTTGTTTTGATCACTAAAAACGAAACGAAAAAAGCGCGCGCGCAAGTTGATGACGCAAGGGAGTAGAGTAAGGAAAAATTTAAACTGCATCCTGTTACTAAAAATAGCCCAACCGAGAATTTACATTACGCGCGCTATTAAGAAGTTACCCTCTCTTATTTATGCGCGCTCTCTTGTTATTATTCACGCTAGCGATAAACTTGATAGACATRTACATGCACGCCTGAATTATTTCTTCAACGAACCTCAGAGATSCAATATCGTCTGTATCAAAAATACGTCAGATAGTGCTATCTAGATAGTGCTCGCGAATAATTGCTATCCGAGGCAAAAGCTTGTAAGGTCTTCTATGTTCTGTTTTTGAACTCGACAATGAATTAGGTATTGAATGAATTAAATAACAGAAATAGCAAGGTAGCCTTTTTTGCCGGTTAAAGTAGAGTCAAACTCCTAAGGAAACAGAGTACAAGAAAATAGTAAATTTTTGACAGCAAGACTTGTACAAATATCAATCTGGCGGGCCTRAAAGCTTTCCATAAATCCAGACATTCTTTTTGTTTTTGCTTCTAATAACCTAAAATKAGATTAACAGTGAATAATTCAGTTCCTCTAAGTTAGTAGCTACCTGTAAGACAAATATTCAGTAGAAAAATACGACCTCGAATTATTTTGGAAGGAAAGAGTCTTTATCGAATAGAGTTGTACAATACTTAGATTTTAACAAAGTAACCTAATCAATGAAACAAAAGTTTACACCGTTAACGTTCCAGAAAAGACCTCAAGCAATTTTTTACAYATGAAAACTAAAGCTCCGTTTACACTGGCKATTTTTGCTGCAATTTTTGTGGCAATTTTTTGAAATATGAAATCTTTYGTCTCATCCTTCAAAAGAGACATTCGTCTAGGAAAATCTTAGCCTGCGCTGCATCCGGAATTWTCTTTACGAATAAACTGAAAATAAATCTGGTATYCTGAAAAAACTTTACAAGTAAATTCTTTACCATTATTTATTATGGACAAAATCGCAAAAAATCGCAGCGAAAATCGCCGCAAATATCGCTAGTGTAAACGGGGCTTAATAATTACTCAATTATAAAATAACTTCAATTCTGCACCGAARTGGCTTTAGTAATTCAGAAGAATAGCTTAACTTAGTAATTCAAAAGAATAGCTTAGCTCTTCTATCCAAGAGTGTTGATTCAATTTCCACTTTCTCTTCTTAATCCGATGAAGTGTTAATTTAGTTCTTCTATATTTTTCCATACAAACGCGTACGAACACACAACCACATATAAGCTTTAGCACAAAGGAYTGATTAATCTTCTTTTGATTTTAGCATTCAAACAGTTTTCAGTAAAAACCTAGCTTAATTTTAAAAATTCTATTGTTTTTCAAAATGTCACTTAATTTATATCTTTTTCCATAGAAACGCTAGCAAACACACATAACCTTTTGTACATAGGTCGGGATTTCAACCCATTTTCTTTATCTTCTAGGTTGTTTTGATRGTTTCAAACATCTTTAAACTACGCCTGGTTTCTGGGCTTTCTGTATTTACGGTTTTTACGTTATTTAAGTACAGTATAATCACTCTATCACTCTATATACAAGGGTCAAATGAATACACTTCAAAAGTAAGCTAAAACCACCACGTTTATCCAACGATTCTTTTAGAATTCTTTCGCTGTGTTACGCAAGGCACTCATGCAGAAAAAGTTAGTGATAAATGCTTAAAAAGCATAGTTGTTTCGCTAAACTTGTACTAATATAGAAATAAAACATTTCAAAGCGGTAGGGGATCAAACTGTACATTTAAAGCAGGAAACTAGAAAGCACAGTTAACTTATATAGATAGGTTTTAAAGACCTCGAGATTGACAGACAAAAAGTATCGCGAAGAATCTGGCGATACATCGCAGTCATAATTAAAACCTTCAAGACGATTCTAAAGAATTTAAAGTCAATTAAAATAAACCTTATTTTTCTTCCTCAAAAGAACAAATGACTAGAATSAATTGATTTACTGAACTTCTTGGAATTGAACCACGTTAACACTTAGAATAATAAAGTATTCAAAAGCTATGATTTTTATGCAATTACTCTTACCCTAATGAGTTTTACAAGGTGAAAGAATTTCATGCCATCTTTTCCAGGTATTCTGCCTTTCTCTAGTTGATCTCCAAGCGGTTCAACAACTGGTGATTTTGAGCGAAACATCTTGTGCTCATYCTTCGGTCGTCTTGTGGAAAGTGTTTTGATTTCTCTTCACACTATCAGAAATAACACCACATGTTTATTCAAGGAAACTTACTAAAAACCCTAACTGTCAGCAGTTCTGTAAAGTGCAGCTCACCTTATTTTTGATATATCAAAGTGTAGTGGACTCTATAAACACAGTGCAGTAATCAAAGTTATCAAGGGCCAAGTTATAAAGAAATGTCGTGGTGGACGTCAAACATGTCGATCTCCATATCCATTTGGATTACAATAGATTCTAAATGCCCCAAAATTAGCATTTACAGAATCCAAGTTTCCAAGACGATCCGGCATACGAAGGATACTCGAGTGTGACGTATGAACCCTTATGACGTAATCAAAGTTGTGCAAGCTTTGTTWTGGACATTTCTTTCAGTGGTTTCATTTGCATGGGAACCCGATTTTTTGCTGTATAACAGACGTTAATTCGGTTGTAATTAAAGCTATGAAAAAGTTTGAATGGGCAAACGGCGACAGGTAATAAGAGACAAGTCATTCAAGATCCAAGAATAGCTGAAATAAATGGTGTGGCTTATTAATATTCTCCTCAAAAAAATCGCCAATCACCGWTCGCCGTTCCCCCGCTGCCATTTTTTTTTTTTCTTAAAATAGATTATAAGTTCGATGTGGAGAAATAAGATGATGGCTTTTTAAGACGTGAAAACTTGTACGGATTCAGGGTGTAACCAGAACTTTTACAGGGAGGGTGCACATCAAATAAAATCGGACCATCAATCGGTTTTTAGTAGCCGTTTTTTATTACCGTCATAAATTTGGCAAAAATTAAATGATGTAATTATAAAGCAAATGGAGAAAGATGTGTGGACCTTAAGCTTTTATGGGGGGGGGGGGGGCACGTGCACCCTGTGCTCCCCCCTGCTTACGGCCCTGGGATTGTGGGATTGACCGATGTCCAGTTTCTAAGCATATTGTATTCTGGGACTGCGGTTCCGTGTCAAACGGTACGTACAGGTCAAATTTTTGGCCAGTTAAAAATTCGCCCGGTATCCGGTACCGTGTAATTAAACGCAGCCTTAGTCTATGGCACGTTAGAAAACTCATTAATAATTCATGAGCAAAACACAATAGAAATCATGACCATGAAGGTGATTTTATATCTGATATAGATTCGTCTTCATTTGCATAAACTTTAACTTGGATTTTCTCTATCAAACTTGGTTCATTTCGTAAAAAAATCGGTACACTATGAGAACAAACATCATAAGTTTTCTAAGCCGTTCAATAATCTCGCAGATCGTGTTTTATCGGGTCTAAAACCACTCGGCTGCGCCTCGTGTTTTATACCCGATAAAACACTCCTGCTCGTTTATTAAACATTACATAATCAATGCTAGTAGTTAAAAATTTGTCTCAGAACTTTGTTTCGCGATCAAGAGATAAAGCACGAGTCACCGACATGGGACACTAGCTCTAAAGTGGAGGGTAATTAATCATTTCAGATGACATCAAGTTCCTCTTTAGCAAACGTTTCTCACACAACAAAAAATAAATGCTTGTAAATAAGGTGCCTTCCACGGTCTACTGGAAAACCTGATCCAAGTCTCTCAGACATTTCGGTTCTTTTCTCATTCCAACGAAGGACTAAAGCTACGAAACATCGAGTAGTCTTTGGTATTAACTTGAATGCACATTGTTATTGCCGAGTTCAAACATTGACTGTAGAAGATAGGACCGAAATGGTACATGGGAAGTGAAGTACGTCTATTAGATGTATCTAGTGATATAACTCGTGGGATGTTCATAAATTGTCGAACTAACAGAAAGCATGGAGGCTTTTCTAAAACACGTTTCATATCGACTGTGTATCTAAAATGAATACATCAGAGGGTAATTTTCATTTCCCAGAATACCTTTTGGTCTCTGCTTCCATGTTCTCTGTTTTAAACCCGGCAATGATTTGGCAATAGACCCAATCCACTCTTTCCCCATTTCAGACTGTCATTTTCTGGAGTATCATTTCTTTGTTTAACGGTTGCGCAAGAGAAGAGACATGGATATGGAATATGGAAATATGGAATATGAAACTCAAACAAAGAATCAGTTATTCTGAGAGAATGACACGTGGTCTGAAATGGGAAAACACTACAAGCCCAAGGTATTGCGTGTATGGTATCCAAAAAACATTTATAGTTTATTTAAACAYCATTTTTACATCGCTGCAGTTCATACTGGTTTCATCCTAGCGCGATAATTGTTTGTTCACTAATACCTCAGACATCATAGGTCTATTATTTTACTAGGTTCGAGCATATACTACACGTCTAAGATGTTCAACAAGTTTTGTATTTGAATACTCTATGAAACAACCATAACTTGAATTGAAACTGAAAATTCGAGAATGTATCTAACGAACTGCCTTACAATTGTATTAAGGCTCGTTCGTTTACACAGRCGATTTTTTCGGCGATTTACAGCGCGATTTCCATTGCCATTCTTGCGGTGATTAAACTACCGGCGATTTTGAGGCGATTTGATAAGTTCACGTCGCCGATRGATCGCCACTATTTTGAACATGTTTGGAAACTAAGTGCGATTTTTCGGCGATTTTTTCTGCAAGAATCGCAGTGRAAATCGCGCTTTAAATCGCCGAAAAAATYGCCTGTGTAAACGAGCCTTTACGACTCATGATGGCCGCTGTGTCTTTGAAGTAGTGCATTGAATTGAATTCGAGAGAWTGGGTTAAATGCAGCTGAAAACTGAAAACGAMCAAAGATCRTTGTTGATTGGCTGAAACGTCGAACGCAAAGAAAAAGTTGTCGTAAAAGTTTGTTTGTTTGTTGCCAGAGTCTGGCATTACAAATAGTCCCAGAAAGTACCACATGTCTACATGTCACACCTACATGTTTGTTGATTCTTCTGACGTCGGTTCAAAGGTTACAAATTTCTTGACAATCCCCGCTTGGTTAACACTTTGATACAACCACCGGCCACTATTAACATTATACGTACCCATTTCCATGGAAACCGGACGGATACTTTCGGACGCCGATCCAGAATATATAGCCCGACCTATGCTTTTGTCCGGGACTCTACCGTCATTATGAGACCGCTGACTCGCGCAGCAGCTGATACCGCAGACTCCTCTTGTACGTAAGACACACACAATGACGCCTATCAACACAAGTAGGAAGATTACCACACTAATGATGATTATAAGATATWTATCATTTCTACTAAGTTTGTAATWGTTGGACGCTTCCTCTGGCGCATGTTTTTTGCTGTCGTTCCGCAACYCGGTTGTGATCGCAGGCTCATTGATTTCCGTAACCAGTGGCAACAAAGTAGATTCTTTTTGTACAGTATTCAATTCTGTAGTTAGGGTATTGGTTATCGACGTTGCCATAGTAGTGCTCCCTAAAAACATTTCAGATATCGATGAAATACGTTGAGGCGAAGAACTAGACTGGGTACTTTCCCCGAGTCTCCTCGCGGTTGGGTTTTGACGTGTGGAGCTAGGTGCTACTGAAGTTGGCCGCTGCTCAATAGGTTTACAGGCTCGAGATATATAASTCGTACTGTTAGTCACGTGTTTTGCAGGGGCGGCGCCATTGAAACCAAAGCATTCTAGGGGCCCAAGAGTGTACATGGACTGTGAAGCTTGAGGGGAAAACTGTAATAGGCTGACTGGGAGGGCTGCTTTGTCTGTTATGTAACCTTAAATAATAATAATAATAATAAATAATAATAATTAATGATAAGAATAATGATGATGATGATGGTGATGATGATGGTCGGTGATGATGATGGTGATGTTAATGATAATAATATTTATGACATTTAAATATTAGTATCTTTACGCAAGTAATATAATAAATCCGGCTCGCTCATTGGTCCTAATTTACCTTATGCTGCTATATTCACCTACAGGTGAATATAACGCGCACACSCGCACGCTCGTTAGTCGATTTGTGCTGTTTGCAGAGATAAATAAAATTTGAACAGTAAAAACCCTCTTTCTCCGTTATTTATTAAAGTTCCTTATGTTAAAAACACTAAAACAATTATTCGCCTCAGACTCAGTGAATATTTAACTCGCCACTCGAAGACTCTTGTCTCGGTAAGTAAGCTAATCCCAGATATTCACTTCGCCTTCGGCGAATAATTGTTAACTATTCAAACGTTTTAACTTTTAAGCAGTAATTTTAACAATACCTGCATCTTCTCTCCACCTCGCATTACCAACGTCACAGTTACAAAGTTTGCTTTCGTCAACACAAGTACTAGTTACTGCACACGCGCACTTGTGACTACCAGATGGTGCCCCACCCCAGTAGTCTTGGGCGACTCCATTACTAGAAACCCACAGTACGTTTGGAGGGTTGAGAATAGTGGTGTTGAAGCAATGGAAACTGATATACTGACGACACCTTTTGCTCTTACTAATAAGAGACTTTATGTCGGGAATATCTGCATTGCGGTATTTTATATGGTGGTAGTGGTAGCCATTGAGCTGACTCGTTCCTTCAGATACTTTGTGAGGAACCTGGATGTATAAGAAAATGAAGTTAACATTAGTGTTGGCAAAGAAAAACTTTAGTATAGCTAGCAGTCTAATTTTGTATTTTGAAGAAGCATCTCAAATAAAATTACGATCGTGTTGGATGTACGTGTAGGAATACGAATGGACCTGAAATGGATTGGATGAACGTATAGGAATAAGAATGGACCTGAAATGGATTGGATGAACGTATAGGAATAAGAATGGACCTGAAATGGATTGGATGAATGTATAGAAATAAGAATGGACCTGAACTAGATTGGGTGATTGTATAGGAATGACAATATAGACCTTTAGCATCAAGTTTACCGCTAACCGCTAAGGATCAGCCTCAGAAACATGCGGCACTTTCAGCAACAACTTCATTATTACGCCTTGCTAAATGTTGAAAGTTTGACAGAAAACGCCTGACATCAAACTACAGTTTGCGATACCTTGCAAGAACGTCGTGCTAAACGTCTCTATCATAATAGACCATACGTACCCTTTTATCGTGAGTAATAATTGTTACACCTCGGTTTCTAGATGTAACGTTACAAAGCACAATGAAGCTTTTGCCAAGAATACTCTTTGGATCTACTATACAATGTGAGTCTTCACTTAACCCCAGGTCCTCGTACTCTGTACAGGTAGCCCGGTACAAAGGTTCTTCACAATGGCGACCTCCATAAAGGATGCCTCCACAGTCACAAGTGTAACTCTCTTTCTGCTGTTCACACTTGCCGCCA